ATATATTTGCATATGTACATATCTTTATATAGACCTCTATAAATGCCCTTTGCCTCCCAGCTCTTTCCTCTATTTCCCTTGATTTTCCTCTTGTCCCACTATCATGCTCAGTCCCCACCAGGGTTTCAGCAATTCCTCTTGGTTACATTCCCCTTGATCATCAGGCCTCCCACACCCACCTCACCACCGATTTGGATCACTTGTTGTTCCCTTGTCCCTGGATTTGTTAACACCACTTCCTTTCCCCCACCTCCCCCTCTTCCATGTCCCCCCGGAACTGTCAGTCCCGTTGTTTTCTCCTCCAGATTGTTCATCCAGACTATTTTATTTAGACAGACCTGTGGAGATAATAACATGCACAGCAACAAGACAGAGCAAAGCCAAGCAACAATGTACAACAAACCAGCAACAAAAACAAACCACTGACAAAGAACAAATGAAAACGCAACAAGCAATAAAAGCTTGTAGTTAGTTCAAAGATCGCTGGCCTTTAGGAGTGTTTTCCAGTCCAGTGAACAGTGCTTTCTATATTCTAGATACAAGACCCTTATCACGTCTATAATTTGCACGCACACGCAAAATAGGCTTTGGCGTTTGTATAGTGCACAGAGGTGGGCGGGTGAGCTGGGAAGTCACGGAGGGCCATGAGTAGGGAAGTGAACCGATTTGCCATCAACATTTTATAGGGAGCAGAAGCTGGGAGAGCCCCTTGGTCAAGAACCCAGGTGAGGAAAAATGGGAGGAGGGTCCAAAGGAGAGTCGGAAGATATTTTGGAGCTCGCTGGAGTGAAGACGATTTACTCAAGGGTTGGATGTGAGGCATGAGAATGACCCGGGACATTGGCCTGTGCAGCTAGAAGGGCCGACCTGTCATTTGCTGAGATGGCAAAGGCTTAGTTCCCTTCAGGGCTGATCGCGAGTCATTTTTAGAGTGAGGTGCTTATGAGTCATCCTGGTGGGGACAGGGGGAAAGAAGTTACATCTGGGAAGCTGGAGGTCTGGGGAGAGCGGGAGCTGGAGGCCTTAGCACCGTGCCTGGGTCAGCACCGACACTGGCAGGGGTCACCCAGAGAGAGTGTGGACAGATGCCCGAGGAAGAGTGGGTTTGCTCGTCGTCTCTGTGCGATCAGCCACCTCAAAACTTAGTGGCTGAGAACACCGGCGTTTCATTTCTGCCCATCCCGTGGGGCAGGAGTTCCGGCGGGCCTGGCTTCAGAGGTCTTCTGTTGCATGGGCATCAGCTGGGTCCTTCCATCTGCAGCATGCTGATTAGACGAATATTGACCAAGTGAGGGACCCTTTTTCTTCTTTTTCATTTTCAAAATTTCTCCTAGAGAAGAAAGGAAATTTCTCACCAAAGGAAAGTCTTCTAGTAATCTTCCAACACAGCCATCATTACTATAAACCCATCCCTACTCTTAGTGCATATGCAAATATGAATATATTATATGTTAATATATAGTGCATAATATGCTAATGAACATTACAGACTCACATTCAATTGTGTATGTCGATAGCGTCTATGAGGCTGGTGCCTCTCGTTCTGAGACTGGCCTTTCTCGCATGCGGATATCATGGGCATTGGTTTTTCATGTCTCTGATACTTCTCTAAGTGATCCTTTAAACACATTCGGTGGTATTTGATGGTGTGAAGGTACCATGATTTATTTAACCTATTTTCAATGATGGGCAGCTAAACCACTCCCTCCCCCTGCCCGCCCCTGCCCCCAAATCCCCACTGTAAGAAGCACTATAAGGAATACCTCTTGATGCGAACATTTGCAATGTTCCAATTTTTTCTTGGGATACATTTTTGGATGTAAAATTGCTGGGTCAAAGTCAAATACGCAACATTTTAACAAATATGACCAAATTTCCCTTTAGAGAGGACTGCTCACCTGAACTTTCTTCAATGCTGAAAATGCCTGAGCTGTCCCATCCCCTAGCCACCAGCCATCGGTGGCTAACAGCTGCTATATTGGACAGCCAGTTCTAGCGTGTTCGGTCACTTCTTGCTCTTATCAGCTGGGCAGGAATGTAGGAAGGTACTTCTTCCCATCCTTTAGAGCAGTGGTTCTCAACCTTCCTAATGCCTCGATCCTTTTACACAGTTCCTCATGTTGTGGGGACCCCCCAACCATAAAATTATTTTCGCTGCTACTTCATCACTGTCATTTTGCTACTGTTATGAATCGGGCGACCCCTGTGAAAGGGTCGTTGGACCCCAAATGGGTTGCGACCCACAGGTTGAGGACCGCTGCTTTAGAGCTCTGAGTGTTCCCTTGCTGGCGGTCAGCATCTCAACTGCCCTCTTCCTCTGTTTCAGGGTAAAGGCCCCAAAGCTGTCATCAGCATCAAGGACTTAAATGCCACCTTCCAGACAGAGAAGATCGGGAACCCGCACGGGCTGCAGATCACCTACAACAGAGAAGGTCGCACCAGGAACCTGTTTGTGTATCATGAAAGTGGCAAGGTGAGAGCTGGGCGGACCTAGCGCACCAACACCTGCCCTTCTCATTTGGTGACGTGCTCAGCTGCCTCTTGAGAGTAGATGCTGCTCTTTTCCTTAATCTGTGGTCACCTCTGGGTCAGGGGTGAGGTAAGTGGGAGGCAGAGTGAGATCAGGGAGGGGAACTTGGCAGGCGTCATCCACGGGAGTCCAGCTGGCAGAAGAGCTCTTGTCCTGGGGTGGCGCGTCCAGATGGGACCTGAGAATCTGAAGCTGAGAGGGAATGAATAGGAGTGGAGTTGGCCGGGCTCTGAAGCCTAGCTCCTCGTGCTGTCCTGGGCTCAGAGCATTGACTTCGCCTGTGAGCTTGTTAGCGTCTCCTCCCCAGCCCAGCCCTACGGAATCGGAATCTGCACTCTGCAAAATCCCCATGTGATGCCCTGTGCATATTGATACTTGGGAAGCACTGATCAAAGGTCCGGGAGATCAACTCAGAGAAGGGCCAGCTAATGAGACAGGCCCCAAAGCCTGTAGCTGGGGATGGGAAGGTGTTTCCAGGAATGAGGAAGTGCGACGTAGGGACCGACACTCTGCGAGCCTGAGCACTGCTCAAAAGAGCCCTAGTAGTGCAGGGGGTTACTCGTTGAGCTGCTAACCACAGCATCTGTAGTTTCTACCACCAGCTGCTCCATGGGGAAAAGATGAGGCTTTCTACTCCTGTCAAGCTTGACAGCCTTGGAACCCCACAGGGGCACTTCTAGTCTGTCCATAGGGTCATTACGAGTCAGAATCGACTCGATGCCAGTCAGAGATTGGCTTTTGGCTTGGACACTGTTCGCGGTGACTGGTGTACATCACTTCTCCGTCCTTGGAGACGTTTTAGCCCCGTCTTTCTGAGACACGGGCATGTGATGATTGGCCATGTAAGCTGTCACCCAGGGTCACATAGCTGATGCTTCCTGAGCCCAGCTCCCAAAATCCCATCTCCCGTGATGCTGCTGGGGTGAGCACCCGTAGCAGCGGAAGCCAGGAACCAGAGGCGAGCACCAACCTCCCCAGGGACCCTAGGGGATAACAGAAGGTAGGGCTAAGGCTGCCAGCCCCTCAGCAGGCCGAATGCTCTCTGGGGCACATGGTCAGGAGCCTGACAGGTGTGATCTGCCAATCAGAAAGTGTAGTCTGGAGAGCAGGGATTTGGACTCATCCACTGAGTCACTTGGGTAGGCCTCCTCTCCTGATCAGGTCTGCGTCCTGGTCAGGAGCCGGGATTAAAACACAGAGGAGTCGTAAGGGCTGAGAGACTGTGGACCATCCATATAGTCACTCTAACACAGGGAGGTGCATTCCACACAGGAGTTGCTGTTTGTGGCTGTGGGCTAACGACTGTGGCAGATGTCAAAGACAGGCTCATTGGGCATTTTCAAAGCGGGATCCGCTTCTTTGGTCACACGTTCAAGCGTCCACCTTTCAGCACCCTGTGCTGAGGATACGTGTTTCATTCGCACGGAGATCCCGAAGGAGCTCCCGCAGTGTTTCGAGCGCTCTGCTGGGTGCTAGGATGGGGCAGGTGGGAGGCAACCGGGGCAGAACCATGGGTCTCAAGGAGGCAGAGACGGGGACTAGGGGCAGCACAATGGACGGGGACGTGGCCGTGCTGCGGACACGCAGAAGACACGTCAGTTGTCCAGTCAGCCAAAGAGGCCCTTTAGAGCAGGGCTGTTAAACTCAATGAAAACGCAGGCCATTTGGTGCAGCAGGCAAGATTCATGCGGCCACATCACATTTGCAAATTTTGTTAAATTTACATTTTGAAGTGAGGATTCAGGAATATGGATTGGACAATCAAAACACTATAATTGCTTTTATTTAAACATTTATTTTATTTAATGTATTTATAAAACTAAAATTATTCTTTTTTACCCGAAACTTGCCAGCGCTTTCCTCCTACTAGTTTTCACTCACCTCTTATATTGTGACCGGAAAATATAACAAAGTAACTAATTAAAAAATACAAAATGTTGGACAGCTGACAAATGTGATGCACAATCGTAATGGCGTCCCTCTAAAAATGTTAACTAGAGCTGCCGCTAGGTATGATTCATAACTGTACAACCCAGAATGCTCTTTTTAACCTGTTGGCTGTCCGGATCTGTTTACATTATGTGACACTGAGAGTGGCAGACATATTGCTCCCAAATGTCGCCGGAACTGAGTCAGCGCGTTTATACACGTCCACAGACCCCCAGGAAAGGCACTGGGCCACATGTATACTCGTCTTCAGTAGTTAAAGGGTTAACGAGGGAATTAATTGCGTGTACGGGATTGCCTTGATCTTCCCTAAGCGCTATTTTCTTCATAACGATTTTTTCTATTTTCATTTTATTTATTTATTTTTTAAAAATAAGCATTTTATTAGGGGCTCATACAACTCATCACAATCTGTACATACGTCATCTGTGTCCAGCACTTTAGTACATATGTTGACTTCATCATTCTTACGACACCCACTTTCCACTTGAGCCCCTGGTGTCAGCTCATTTTTCCCTCTCCCTCCCCGCTCCCCCCCGAACCCCCGATAATTTATAATTTATTATTATTTTATCATATCTTACCCCATCCCACGTCTCCCTCACCCACTTCTCCGCTGTCCGTCCCCCAGGGAGGAGGCCACATGTACTATTTTCATTTTATTTTAGAGCTTCTTGGGCCACAAAAAATTACCTTGGGAGCCACATGCGGCCCTGGGCGCCAGTTTGACACCCCTGATCTAGAGGAAAGACGGTCTGTGTCAGAACCACGGGCCCCGCTCTGGGAAGGAGAGAATGAGAGCCTGCTTATGGGGGGTTGGGGGGGTGGAATAGGAGAGATACAGGGAGTATTTCCAGGGCAGGAGGCATGACTGGGCTTCCTGGAGCTCCGAATCAGGAGCCAGCCTTGAGCAGTAGACTCCGAATGAGTCTATTGCAACAGCTAACCAGCAAGATGAGTGTGAGTGAGTGAGAGAGAGAGAGATGATGGGAGAGAGCTACACTCGCTCTTTGCAAAGGGCAACAGTTGTTCCGTAGCATCGGACAGGCAGTAGTGCCACACTTTTTTGTGTTCCTGAGTTCCAGGATCCATCCCCCAAAGTCGGTGAGAACTCAGCCCCTAGGCATCATTCACAGCTCCCTCCCGGGACTGTACCAGAATCTTGATGGAACCCGGGCTGTGAGGGAATGCAGAGGAGATTCCTGGCTGTCAGTCTGAGAGAGGCCGACCAGACTGGCTTGGTTCAGAAGGTGGCGACCACCCCTTCGTGACAGTCTCTGCCATGAGGACTTTGGCTGAGGGGCCCAAGGTCTCTGGCATTTAGACTCTCCCCCATTTACCCAGGCCTGATGCATCCAGTGACCTTGGCCGGCCCATCCTGCTCTTGCTCTTGCTGCCCCAGCTTCTCCAGATGATGGCCACCAGCAGGGGTGGCACGCAGGCTTGCGGGAGCAAGTAGGTCATTCAAAGGGTGAAGTGGACAGGAGTCAGCAGTTGGGGGATTGTGGCAGGAGGAGAAACCCATTACAGGAGGGAAACAAACATTGGGAGTCAAACAAGGCGTTGGCCCAGGTCTGGCAGTCTGTGACTGCTCCGAGAGACTTGCCATGTCAAGTCCTGGCAGGGTCTTCTCTGGCCTGGCCCCATACCCTTAGTCCAGCCTGGGGGACGCCTGGCCCTCGGGCTTTATACCAAACCATACTCACTGCCACTGAGTCCATTCCAACTCCCTGTGACCCAATAGGACAGGGTCGAACTGCCCCTGTAGGTTCCTGAGACTGTAACTCTTTACAGGAGTAGAAAAATCCCACCTTTCTCCCATAAAGCGGCTGATGGTTTCAAACTGTTGACCTTGCAGTTAGCAGCCCAATGTGCAATCACGACACCGCCAGGACTCCCCGTGGGCCGTCAAAGGCCCACAAAATCATTTATACCAGCTAACATCATACACCTCACCAAAGAGAAGCAAGCAGTTCAGCCATCGCATCAGTGGCGAGTCCATTTGACCAAATATAGCAGGCTCATTTTTAAGTTGATCATTTTATATGGGCCGCAAATGATGTTATAAGTATCCAAATGGCCCTTGGCAGAAGTAAAGTTCCCCTCATCCCTGCCTGGGTGTCTGAGAACCAAGGCTTTGGACAACCCCGGGGGCCAAGAGGGTTCAGAACCCCAGAACACTAGACCGGGTGCTTGGGCGAGGGAGATTGTGCGGCCTTCGTTCCTTGGACACCACAGTCAAATGAATTTCTCAATCTCCAGTTCACATAAAAAGCTAGCACCGAAGCTATTTGAACAAGTCTTTCTAGGTCCCAATTCCAAATTCCGGGGAGAAAGAAGCTCATAGGCCCAGGCTGGCTTCTGCATTGGTCCAGCCCTGGTCCAGCTGTGAGAACAAGGATGGGGATTTAATCATAGTAACCTAAGTAGATGCAAATGTGGGTGGTGGGTGGAAAGTGCACTTATAAAAGCAGGGTTTGATGAGAATGATGAGGGCAATGAATGTACAAATGTACTTTACACAATTGATGTATGTATGGATTGTGATAAGAGTCGTATGAGCCCCTAATAAAACGATTAAAAAAAAAAAAAAGCAGGGTTCGAGCAAGCCCCTGAAACATATCTGTTACAACATCTATAAGCAAATCTGCAAGATGAGAGACTGCTCCAGGTAAAAGGTATTTGTGGGGATGAAGGCAGGTGAGGTGGAGTGTTTACGAAAGAGGGAGGTGGCAGCTGGGTTTGTATGGAAGGAGCTCAGCAGGCGAAGCAAGAAACAATCATGCCAACGCCTTTAGACTTCTTTGCAAGAGCAGCAGAGAGGGCTGAAGGGCAGACACAAGCAGATTCACAACCAGCTCACAATTAGCAACCCACCCCAGCGCAGAAGAGAAAAGGCTGGCTAGGCAGGGCCAGTGGGGTTTTTAGGTGAGAGCTGATGATGGCCTGGGCTTCCAGAACCTGAATTGTCCCTGGGCAGTGGCTCAGACATCCGAGCCAGCTCTCGCCAAGGTCGCATAGCAGGCGAGCAGCCCTTGTCTACCACCCAAAATTGTCTTTCTGACAGCATCTGACAGCAGTGCTTTCTGAGGCCTTTGGTTCTCAAAGCCTGCATTTGAACACTCTCCTCCGGTGAGCTCCGTGTACAGCCAAGGATGAACAGCACCGCCTTAAGGCCAAGGCAAGGAGTCTCTCTGGGTGGTGTAAATGGTTAAGCGCTGGACTCCAAGCCCAAAGGTTAGCAGTTCAAACTCCTCTAGAGGTGCCTCGGAAGTAAAGCCTGGTGATCTGCTTCCAAAAGGTCACAGCTTTGAAGACCCTGTGGAGCACACTTCTTACTCTGGAGCCATGAGGCAGAACCAACAGCCACCGACCCTGTCGGCACTGGCAAGGCCCTTTGTGAGCCCCAGGTGGCCTAGCTTGCTTCTTTCCTGCAGCTCAATCAGTCCCCCTGGAAACCAGACGGAGTCAGGCGGCTGTCCTGAGCCTCTAGGCCCCTGGAACCCTTTGTCCTCCCTGGTGCAAGTACCTAATAGCTGAACCTTTGCGCCCCAAACCTGCCATCAGGCCTGGCCCCCCTCTCCATCTCACCAGCTGGCTGTCTGTCCTTCCCATTTAGGAGATCGTGGACTGGTTCAATGCCCTCCGCGCAGCCCGTCTGCAATACCTGAAAACGGCCTTTCCTGAGCTTCCGGAGTCAGAGGTGAGTTCAGCGTGGGCCGCCGTCTTTGCTTCTGCGTCGCCTCTCTGCCCCCTCTCCCTCTCCTTCTCTGCTGACCCTGCAGACACCCAGAGACCAGACTGAGTTTGTAGGCAGGAACTGGAGCCCTGGGACTGGAGCACCACAGAGGGGACCCAAAAGCATTTTTTGGTGTTTTTTTTCTGGGAACCTGGTGGATATGATGTCACACGACACAAGAAAGTATGCCAGCTCCCCCCCTTCAGGATGTGCAGTCGCTAGCCAGAGTTTGAAGGGGCTCACAATTTGGGCATCACTTTTTGATCTCAGGTAATGTGCCCACATCCTGCACATGCTGCTTCCAAAGTGAGTTTGATATTGTCTTGGGATCCCTTCCATCTAGTGATCCATTGGCGTATAGATTAGGTAGGGATGATTATTGCCCTGGGAGATGAGAGACTGAGTCCCAGATGATGAAGTGTATGACTTGAAGGTGAGTTTTCCGCTCTAACACCCCCTTTGCCTCATGGTATTCAGTCAGGGAGCCAGTGGGACTCACCCCCCCAACAGCTGTAATAGAGACATATCTCCCTTCTGTGGCCAAGTGTCTGATCATCGCCCTTAGACAAATGGGGTGCCCAGTTATATCTCAGCCTTGACCAGGGCAGCCTGCTGGGGTTGGGCAGAGGGTGATTACTTTGAGCCAGGCGACCTGGGCTCTCCTCAATGCTCCATCATTAGCATGCTGCATGACCAAGGCAGGTCTACAGGACCTCTCTGAGCATGTTTCCACAGCAGTAAGCTGGTGATTGGTCTGGTTCATCTCTCAGGACCTCTTCTAACTCTGAGGTGCTGTGCTGTGTGGTGGTCCCTGCTGGAGGCCCCCCCTTTAGTGGATTTGAAAAGTTCTGGCGGCATAGGATGTTAGGCACTGGACTGCTCACCGCAAGCTCAGCAGTTCAAACCCACCAGTAGCCCTGCTGGAGAAAGACGAGGCTGTCCACTCCCATAAATATGTACAGCCTTGGAAACCCAATGGGACAGGTGTACTATAGGTTGTGACCCATAGGTCAAAATCGACTGGATGGTAGTGGATTTCGCTGTTGTTTTTTGCTTCTTTTTTGTTTTAATTGGATTTGTAGGCAGTCGGAGTGGGGAGGCCATGTAAAACCTGGGATTTTTGTTGTTGTTTCAAATGGTTAGGTCTTCTTTGAAATCTTAAATGCTCTTTACTTTCAAGGTTTATGGGTGTTCGGACAGAACAAGGGACTACTTTGTGGTTTAAAATCAGGAAAGGAGTACGTCAGGGTTGTATCCTCTCACCATACTTATTCCATATGTATGCTCAGCAAATAATCCGAGAATCTGGACGGTATGCAGAGGAATGTGATGGTAGTATTAAAGGAATGCTTATTAACAACCTGCAGTACACAGAGGATACAACCTTGTTTTCTGCAAATGAGGAGGACTCGAAGCACTTGCTGATGCAGATCAAGGATGACAGCCTTCAGCCTTCAACTCAATGTCAACAAACCCCAAATCCTCACAACTGGGCCAATAGGTAGCATCATGACAAATGGAAAAAAGATTACAGTGATCAAGGATTTCATCTTCTTGACAGCAGTCAAGAAATCAAATGACGTCTTGCATTGAGCAAATCTGCAACACAAGACCCCTCTCTCTTAAGTGGTAAAAAGCAAATAGGTCACCTTGAGGACCAAGGTGTGCCTGACCCAAACCATGTGTATGAGTCTGGGTGGACTAGAGAAACAAATCCATGGACACACATATGTGTATAAGAAAGAGATTTATATACAAGAGCAATTGAACATTGAAAACATCCCAGCCCAGTCCAGATCAAGTCCATAAGTCTGATATTAGCCCATGCCAGATATCAATCTATAAAGTCTTCAGACTCATGAAACACATGCAATGAAGCCAAATGCAGGATGATCACAAGCCAGTGGGTAGGAAGTCTTTGGGTCCGGTGGCATGGTAAGCATCTCAGTGCTGGCAGGGGTCTCTCTGCAGCTTCTCCGGCTTCAGGGGTCTGGTTCCATCCATGTGGCTTGTCTTCTGTATTGTCTCCCAGGGAGTAGCAGAGAGAGAGAGAGAGAGGTATCTTCCACCTCCAAGGAGGAAGTGCCAGATTTCCCAGAATTCTCAGGAGAAGGCCATGCCCATGGAAGTCTCATTGGCGATCTCCAGATTGACAGCCTAGACTCCACTGCTACACTCTTAATCCTTAAATTGACACCAGATTAGGTGACTATCACACCATGGTATTTTCAGTCACCTCATATGCATGCGAAAGTTGGGCATTGAATGAGAAGGACCGAAGAAGAACTGATGCATTTGAATGATGATGCTGACAAAGACTACTGAAAAGACGATGGACTGACAGAACAAACGAGTCTGTCTTGGAAGAAGTACAGCCAGGATGTTCCTTAGACATGAAGATGGTGAGATTTTGTCTCCCATTCTTTGGACATGTCATCAGGAGAGACCAGTCCCTGGCGAAGGACATCCTGCTTGGTAAAGTAGAGGGACACTGAACAAAAGAGGAAGACGCTTGACAGGCTGGATTGACATGGGGTTGTAACAGTGGACTCAAACATAACAATGACCCTAAGACAGTACAGGGCCAGGCAGTGGTTCATTCCGTTGTACAAAGGGTCGCTCTGAATCAGAAGCAACCCGACCACACCCAACCACCTCACAACAACAGGGTCTAGGGGCACCTTAGTGGCCCAGGGGAGACCCCGTTGCATCCCCCGCCAGTGCAGCTCATGCGTAGCCACCACTTGTCTGTCAATGGAGGCTTGTGGGTGGTGATGATGCTGAACAGGTTTAAGGCAGATTAGGATGAAAGGCCTGAGGGTCAACCTCTGAAAATCGATGATCGCCATCAGGCAGGTGCCAAGGGCCCGTGTCCGTGGGGTCCACATGATTCTGGGGCCAACATGGCAGCAGCTAACAAGGACATGTGGCTGACACAGGGACGTGGGAGTCTGCTTTGGGCCCAGTGAGATGGGGACAGTTCCTAAGAGAACTGGGTCAGAGTCCTGCAGCCTGCTGAGTCAGCACGCTGAACTGGCCAGTGCCGCTCCTGTGGGCAGGCAGTGGGTTGGGAGTGCTGACTGCAGGTTGCCGGGAAGGGGAGGGGGGGACAAAGTGCAAATGCTCAGCATGATTTCATCTGGGCTAGCTTTGCAACTCTGCTGACAGGGGTGGAGGAAATTGGCCATCCGCCAACGTCTTCTAGGTCCTCTGGCTCTCTGGCTTCCCTCATTCTGCCCCCCACCACCCCCCGCCCCTCTCCTCCCTTGCCTCTTGCTCTCTTGCTTTATCTCCAAGCCTGCCTCTCAGGTTTATGGGCCCAGATGGCTGAAGGCAGGGGAGGGCCAGTGGGGCTGTGGTCCTGTTATAAAGACCACCTGGACTCAGGGTTAGAGAAGCTGATGTGTTACTTAGGGCAGGTCACCTTACCTCTCTGAGCTCCCAGTTTCTCCTCTGTCACCATGGGGACATTGTCCTCCAGCACCGTGTCCTTCCCCTTGTACCGGTTGGTTCCCTACCCTGGACTAGCCTGCCCTGGCTCATGGTTAGGCTACTGAGCAGATGAGGACTATCGCTCCTTCAAGTGGAAGAATATGAAAGCCCATCCAACATTTTAGGGCAGATGTGGTATAGCTTCTAATGTTTGTTTTATAATATATTTATTTTGTTTTATAATATTTTTTACTGACACATCTTACTCATTCCAATAGATACATGTACATACAGCTCTGTTGTTTAAAGACTGCTAATCATCTCCTTATTGCACAAGGGAAGGCGGGTCTAGAGAGACACAAGGTCTTGCCAAGGTAGCGTGGCTTCTTAACTTCAGAGTTGGAATTAGAATTCAGAGCTCCTGACTCCTCATCCAAGGCATTATCTTCTTTTAGGTTTTTATTTATTTGAGCTCCTTGCTATCAGATCCCCTTAGTCCCCTCCCTTTCCCACCATACCACCCAGGAACCCTTCTTTTTTTTTTTCTTTCTATAATAGGTGTTTGGGGGTTTTGCCATATCTTACACAATGCAGTATATCCATTCACATACACTTCTGTTGTATGTTGGATAACCCCATCGAGTGGGGCTATGCAGTCATCAGTGCTATTAGCTCTCCTCTCCCCTCCGCCACCCCTCCCTCTTCTCGTGCCCTCAGGGAACAATTACTCCTATTACTGTTTCTTGACTTTCATGTACTAAATGATCTCAAATAGACAAATGAACATATGCAAATCTGACATGATTAATGAGGTAAAACAAGTAAAACCATAAGAGTGAGGGGAGGAAGTATTATATGGTTATGGGGAGGAGAGTTGGGTGGTTCATCAGTGCCATACTGCACCCTGGTTTTACCATCCCTTCCATGTGGTCCTTCTGAGAGGGACTGCTCCGTTATCTTACAGGTGGGTTTGGGGTCTCTACTACATCCACACCCCTTCACATCAATTTGGTTGCATGTTTTTGAACTTCTGATACCTCTTCCCTTTGATACCTCATGATCACACAGGCTGGTGTGCTTCTTCCATGTGGGCTTTGTTGCTTCCTTGCTAGATGGCTGCTGTTAACTATAATCCTTTAAGACCCCAGACGCTATATCTTTTATTTTTTATTATTATTTTTTATTTATTTTCTTTTTATTTTATTTTATATATTTATTTATATAGATAATTAGATATATAACACAAGAAATGAACTGTTAAATTATATACAGATAGATAAATATATAATACAAGAAATGAACAGTTAAGTTATAAAGTAGTACAAATGCCTCAGTGCAACTCTTTTCCGTGAGCGAGAGAGAGTTGTGAGAGACTAGCAGTCCTTCAAGTCTAGTCTGCTGCCAGATCTTCCTCTATTTATAGAGAGAGCTAGGATATCTCAGCACAGCAGCCAACCACAAGGCAGATCACCAACTGTCAACCAACCACCAGTCCCAACTGCGAGTCCCCAGCTCCAGAGATATCTTTTTTTTTTTTTTTAACATTTTATTAGGGGCTCATACAACTGTTATCCCAATGCTATATCTTTTAATAGCCAGGCACCATCAGCTTTCTTCACCACATTTTCTTATGCACCCATATAGTCTTCAGGGATAGTGTCAGGAAGGTGAGTATCATACAATGCCACATTATTAGAGCAAACCATTCTTGTACTGAGGTAAAATTTAAGTAGAGGTCCAAAGTCCATCTTTTTCCTTGCTACATTTGCATATATATATATGCAAATACACATATACTTATATATTTTTCCTTCTTTCCTAATTTTTTTCCCTCCTACCCCACTCTTATGTTTACCCATTGTTCACCTCTCAGTAATTCCTCTTAGATACAATTTGATTGATCAGACATGACCAGAAAAGCTACACCCTCCTCACCATCAATTTTAGAGCATTTACTATTCCCCTGGACCCATCATTGTTGGCCCCTGACTCACCTCCCTCTCCCTTGCCCCTCCCATGCCCCCCAAGGCATTATCTTCTTGTTTACTCTGCTGCTACCTCCTTTAGCCCTGTGTCAGAGTCTCCACGATGGCCAGGTCTTGACCAGAGGACCCGAGCGTGCATGTGAGTGCGTGGCTGCTGTGTTTACAGCATAACAGAGCAGTGAGGGAGGACTGGCTACCATCTGTAGCCCAGCATGTGACCCAGCTCTTTACCCAACAAACCACAGGGCTTTAGGACAATCCCTGGCCACTTCTTTATAAGTACCATGAGGATGACCTTGGGAGCTTCCCAAAGTTCATGGAACAATAGAGTGAAAACATAATGGAATTTTCCACCAACTTTTTGAAATCCCCGCCCCCCAAACCTAACTGGCAAGGTTGTGAAATAGCACCCAGGATGCTCAGTGTGGCTGTGGAGAGGAGGGTACAGGAGGTGGTGGCAGAGCCTGTGGGCCCCGAGACTGGGCTTTTCAAAGGCAACCAAACATGAGCTCTGAAGCTATATAAAGGTCATTGGGATAAATGTTTTTTAAAAGAATTGTCAGAAAGCATGGCTGAGGGCAAACTAGGATGACCATGGGATGTTACAAAAATGACATCCTCAAGGTAGCCGTGGGTGAGTGTTCAAGTCCTTTCCCATGATATTTAAGAATTCTCCATGGCCTTAGTGTGATAGGGCTTCCATTTTGGGAAGGAAAAATGACGAATTGGTCACAAAGGGGTGAATAGGAGCAAGTGAAGCAAATTCATATTTTATTCGACACTGATAACCTCATTTCACATAGAAAATGGAACTTGTTAAAAGATTTCATCTTGCTTGGATCCACAATCGATGTTCATGGAAGCAGTAGTCAAGAGATCAAAGAACCCATTGCATTAGGTAAATCTGCTGCACATGGCCTCTTTGAAGTGTTGAAAAGCAAAACTAATAAATAAAACGTTGAAAAACAAGGATGTTCCTTTAAGAACTAAGGTGGTATTTTCGATCACGTCAGATGCATGTGAAAGTTGGACTTTGGCTAAGGAAGACCAAATAACAATCTGTGCATCTGAACTATGGTGTTGTTGAAGCGTATGGAAAGTACCACGGACTGCCAAAAGAACAAACAAGTCTGTCTTGGAAGAAGTATGGCCCGAATATTCCTTAAACACAGGATGGGGAGCCTTTGTCTCACACACTTCGGACATGCTGTCAGGAGAGACCAGTCCCTGGAGAAGAACATCGTGCTGGGTCCAGTGGAGGGCAAGCAAAAAAGGGGAAAGCCCTTGGCAAGATGGAGTGACGCAGTGGCTGCAACCATGGGCCCAAACAGAAGCACCGTTGTGTGCATGGTGCATGTCAGGGAAGTCTCTTGTTCGGTTGTACATAGGGTGCTGTGAGTCGGAACCAACCTGACTGTACCTAACAACAATAACCTGTAGAAAATGACGTTTGGATATTCAGTATTTTATTTGCTGAACATTGAAGTTGGTTTCAAAACAAAAACTTTCACCCAGACCTTCACATACACAGTTGTTGTTATTGATAGGTGCTGTTAAGTTGCTTCTGACTCATGGCGACCCTGTGCACAACATGAGGAATGTGCTTTCTGGCCCTGAGAGGGTCTCCTAGGGGTCTGTGGTGGTTGCGTAATCTGTTGTCAATCGGAGACTTAAGAACGAAGGGGTGGAGTCTAGCCTGTCAATCAGGTTGCCGTTTGATGACCTCATTTGGAGGCGCTAAGGAGATACATAACTTGCTGGAGGCGGGACACTCATTCCCTGCGAGACATTCCTGTTGAGAAGACACAGGGGCTACGCTAGAGCCCTAGAGCTGAAGGAGCCACATGGAGACCCCTGCCAGTGCTGAGATGCTTCTACCACCACTGGATCCACAAGACTCTCCACCCACTGGCCTGTGATCTTCCTGCATTCAGCATTATTGCATGGCTACATGTGTCTAAAGAGGAATTTATGGACTAGTAGTGGACATATGGGCTAATATTGGGCTTGTGGACTAGGCTGGGATGTTTTCTTAATGTACAATTACTCTTTTATATAAAGCGCTTTCTTACACACATGAGTGCCTATGAATTTGTTTCTCTAGTCAACCCAGACTAACATAGCCTCTTACCTGCCTCCACACTGTGGCGACTGAAAAGCCAGGAATGAGTTCCCTGGCTCAGAGCCAGGTCATGGACGCCGGCCACTGGAGACCTCGTGTTTGTCAGAGGAGGATGGTGTTGTACAGTTTTCCACGGCTGGTTTTTCAGAAGTAGCTCACCAGGCCTTTCTTCCGAGGCTCCTTTGGGTAGACTCAGGCTTGCAGCCTTTTGGTTAGCAGCTGCCAAGCACCATGACCATTTGCATCCTCCTGGTGCTCCAAGGTTACTAAAGGAATCCTTAAACCCAGCCCGGCTCGGCCATGCTGGTGCGTCCTGCAGACATCTGGGAAATGCCATCTGGCTCTGTTGAAACATTAATATCACATCCATTCCACGTTCCAAATATAACTCTGTGAACCATGAGCACATATCCTTCCTCATTCCAAACATCCCCCTTTGGGGGAGCCCAGCCCCATGGGGGGCTTCTGGTGCCTGCGGTGTGAGTCAGGGGCTCAGAGTCTGTCTCTCTTCCCACAGCTTGTGCCTCTCATCACCAGGAATTACCTCAAACAAGGCTTCATGGAGAAGACTGGTCCAAAGGTACAGCCTGCCATTCCCTTGCATGGCTCACAGGGCTCTCCTGCCCAAGGGTAGTGGGACATAATCTGGGAGGTGGGGGCCAGGGAGAGGGGAGGGGGAAATGACGCAGTAGTTGGTGAGCTCCTGGGTTGCGGGCCCAGCGGTGCTGGCACACTTCTCCCTGGCACTGGGCATGCCCTCCTCTTCCTGTCTTGTCACTGTGGTGACATAGCTACGAGGGGCCTTCAAAAAGTCCATGGGAAAATGGAATGAAAAGACCATGAACTCTTTGAAGGCCCCTGGTGTCTATGTAAGTCATGGCTTGCCTTTTGGACATTCTTCCCACCCAGGATTCACATTCAGGTGTTACACTGTGAACGGTCCTCTTGCTCTTTCCCCAAGCTCCCCATCAATCTCCCCCTCCCCCCATCAATCTTAAAAGGAACTCAATGACCCCTAAACAGGGAGTCCCCCTTTGTCCTAGAACCCACAGATCGATTTTAGGCTTCATCCGCATGCCATACACATCACTGGCCTCTTCTCCCCTCGACCCCCTCTGCCTGACCCCACCCCTAGGAAAGCACAGCCAGAGAAAACGCACTGGGGTGGCGGCTTGGCACACTCAGAATGCTCACGTGGCCCGTGCTGCCCAAACCAGGCAGGGTTTAGAACCTGCACTGAGAAAAAGACCCCACCACCTGCACATACCCCAGCTGGGTACCACGTGAGCACTCCCCTCCCCTGCATCACATGCCCTCCCCCAAACTCAGGCCAGGCTCTCTTTGGCTGTGAAGCCTGCCCCAGCCTCCAGGGTGGCCCATTCCACTGGCTTCCAGAAGGAAGGGGAGTCCCCTTTAGAAGGCCCAGCTGCTTCTGAGCCCCTGTGGGTGAGCCAGAGGTGCGGAGGCTGGGCTGACACAGGAAGGGGTCTCAGTCCTGGCCTAAAGCTGTTGGCGGGTTGGGGTGAGGGTAGGGGGTAGGTGCTGAGCTCAAAGTAAGAAGTCTGGGAGGAGTGAAGAGAAAGAAGAGAGGGAGATTGCAGAGGGAGGTCTAAAAATGGCAGCAGTCCAGTGATTTGTTTTTAAGGTGTCATCTGTTGACAGGATGGTGGTGAAGTCTGTGGTGGAAGGTGATAGGCAGCCAAGCTTGCAGGCTTCAGACCAGGCTGTTTCCCACCCGAGAGCAAACCATGCCCATCCCCATGGCGTTTGCCCCAGACGTAGGACAGAATTTGGCCAAGGCCAGCGCTTTCAGCCTTGCTGAGCAGTGGCCACTTCTGATTCTCTCAGCTTCTTTTTTCTTGGAGACTTCTGGTTCACAGCTTGAGAAAGAGGGAAGCACCCCTTTCAACCGGGGAAGGCAGTGTCTGGAGGCAGCAGGACAGAGAACCTTCAACCCCTGCCCGCCCAGAGGGCGGGGACTGGAGGTCAGGATGGAGACCACAGGCCAGGCAGCTGCTCTGGCTTGGTCCCGGCTGGCCTCTTGACCTGTGTGCTCAGCATGTGCAACCCTGGTAAGAGGTTCCCTCTTTTGCAGCAGAGAGAACCTTTCAAGAAGCGGTGGTTTGCCCTGGACCTGCAGGAGCGGAGGCTGCTGTATTACAAGAACCCCCTGGTAAAAGCCACTCTGGTTCCTTCCAGGGGCATCCCCCCTGGGCAGAGGGAGGGGTGGCCAGAGGGAAGCTACTGACAGGCACATGGCCCAGCCTGGAGCCCAGGACTGGGGAAACCTGCCTGGCAGGGAGCTTCTCTTTGCCTAGAGCCAGACTGTTCTCCCCTCCCCCTCCAGGAAGTCTGGACTAGTGTCCACGGTGCTGCTAACTGCAGCTAAGTCAAGTTGAACTCTGTCTCCTCGTCTCCAGGTCTCACCTCTGGGAAGTGGCACAGTTAGTACTTAGTCGGGGCTTTGGTCTCAGCCTTGCCATTTGTAGATCCATGCCTTCTGAACCAGGTACTTTGTATCTGGCCTCAGTTTCTTCCTCTGGAAAGCAGACTTATTAACAGCGCTCCCCGCTTAGACATTATCATGATGATTCACTACGTTGTTAGAGACATGCCCCTTTTTACTGCACTTAGCAGCTCCTGCAGTTCTGTACGTGGAAGGTTTGTGGTAACCCTGGTGAGCTAGTGTCTAGATCAGTGGTTCTCCACCTTCCTAAGGCGGTGACCCTTTCAGACAGTTCCTCATGTGGAGGTGACCCCCCCAGCCATCACATTATTTCTGTTGCTACTTCATCACTGTCATTTTGCCACTTTGCTTCCTAATGCCGTGACCCTTTCATACAGTTCCTCATGTGGTGGTGACCCCCGCCCCCAACCATAAAATTATGTCCGTTGCTACTTCATCACTGTCATATGAATCGGGCGACCCCTGTGAAAGGGTCGTTCGACCCCCAGGTTGAGAACCGCTGTTCTAGACTGAGATGTACTAGGAAGAAAGGTCTGGAGATCTACTTCTGAATACCTGCCTGTGAAAACTCTGTCGATCACGATGGTTCAATCTGACTGCTCGTGGGGGTGGCACACGGCTGGGCAGCATTTGGCCCTCTGGTGTGTGGGTCATCACCTTTCAGGGCCCGACTGGATGGCAGCTCATAGCAACATTGTTTTGACAGATGAATGGATGTGGTTTATTTTAGGCTTTGAGCCTTTTCCAGTTCTGGGTCTAACTTAGTAGAGATCCCAGTAGAGGACTGCCCACATCCTTTGACCAGAACATTTCTGGAGCTGCCAGGCTTAAGGCAGGGCCCTGCCCCCTCTGTTCGTTTTCAGGATGCCTTTGAGCAGGGCCAGGTTTTCATTGGGAGCAGCGACCAGGGCTACGCCATCTATGAAGACTTGCCCAAAGGCGTCCGGGGGAGTCGCTGGAAAGCCGGCCTCACCATCGTTACCCCACTTCGGAGATTCGTCTTCACCTGCCCCACCGAGAAGGAGCAGCGGGAATGGCTGAGGAGCCTGCGGGATGTGCTGACCCACCCCATGACTCCCCTCAGCATCCTCAGTAAGATGTGGGCGCTAGCTTCTATTCTGATGGCCAGGGGCAGAGGGTAGAACCAGGCTTCTCTGCTTCGGCTCAGCGAACACCAGACCAGTGGCCATCAAGACCTTTCAACTCATCGTAACTCCACCTGTGTCAGAGTAGTGCCCTGCCGGGTGTTCGGTGGCTGATTTTGGGAAAGTAGGACGTTTGCCAGGACTTTCTTTCGAGGCACCTGTGGATGGACTGGACCGCCAACCTTTTGGTTAGCAGCCAAGTATGTTAATCTCCTGGGTTTTGCCAGGGTGCCAGAAAAGAGCCCTGACACCAAAGTTGTAGCTCCCGACTACTCTCTTTCCATTTCCTTTCTGCCAAAGAAAAGTACAGTCAGTGCACATTATTCCCGAAAGCCTTCCTCTCTCTCCGCCCCTCCATTCTGATGGGAGCCCATCTCTGTTAGCATTTTGAGGTGCGCAGTCCTGGCAGAACTCTCAGTGCTCTTAGGAGAGACCCATCTGTACCCCACTCAGTCTAGAGGCTGCACAGCCCCCTCTCTCTCCCACCACCCCTTGAGTTTCTTTCCTTGTGAGAAAGCCCTGGCCCATTATTATTCACTGAGGTCCCCACCCACCAGACAGCTTCTGGGACCCAGGACTCCCACTCACAGAACACCAAGGCTATTTTTAGTGCACAGCTTTTCTGGGGTTCTCCCTTCTGTTTGCCTCTTTCTGCTCCTCCTCTTTGTCCTTAAATGGGTTACAAGTGGGCTTCCCTCACACTGATGGCCCGATGGGAAAAAAAGGGGAGATGTTCTGAGCTCCCGCAGGCAACTTCCGGTCTGGACTTGGCTGCTGGGACACAGAGGAGCAGCCCTGTGTTTGGAAAAGGACAGACCAAGCAAGTGAGCCGTGGGGAGCGGAGCCCTGGTGACCTGTATACATATGAGCTCTCTTCCTCCTCGAACCCCCCGCGCCACAGAACCAGCCTCGCAAACTCATGTGAAACTTGTTAGCGAGGCTGGACACTTGGTCCTTGCTTTTCTGTCTGTGCGTCTTTCTAGGATGGGTTTTATTCTGTCTCTGTGTCTCACACTCTCTGCTTCTCTTCCTTCTCCAATGTTGGGTCCCCTCTGTTGCTCGTTCCATCTGCTTTTGTGTTGATTTTTTTTTCCATTCTGGATCTTTGTCATGAATCCTGCCCCCCTGCTGGGCCCCTCTCTGGTGTAGTGACCGCATGGCACCTTTTCTCATTTCCCAGCAGCTGCATCAGCAGAGAGTGGCCACAGCAGCAGGTGACCTGGGGACCGAGGAGCTGGCTGACCAGTAATTACTCAGGGCACCTGGCTGGGAAGGAGAAGATCTCACCGATGCCCCGTTGCCCAGCAGGAGTGCCCTGCAGCCAGCGGCCATCTCTGCAGTGAAATCTACAAGACGGAAGCCCTGGCCTTTACCCACTGGGCCTTGTCTTTCGGCCCCGAGACCTCTGTGGGTCTGGCAGATGGAAGGTCATCTGAAGTGCCTTCCAGGCCTGAGCCCTGGACTTCCTCACAGCTAACAGGGGGGCAGTGCAGTGGAAGGCAAGGCACCTGCCACCTCAGCAGAGTGGCGCTTGTGCCAATTCTGCACTGCATTATGAGGAACGCATCAGACAAGCCCACACTGAGGAGCTCTGTGTAAAACAGCATCTATCTCGGCCTCTGCACAAGTGTCCATAGTATGGAAAATAAATTTGCCTGGGACCTGCTGTTGATGGAAGGAGGCTAAGGAGACCCAATGTATTGCTGACCCTGGAGTCCACGTGCCCATTTACACAGACGTGGCCACTAGGGAATCTGGGTACGGATGTTTGTTAATGAACAGGATTGGAAGATTGTGAGCAGTACGCTGTATCTGTGTAAGAGAGCACTCTTGTTCTTGGGAGGTACATCTGTGGTATGTAAGGCAAGATGAAACCAGGTTTGCTATTGACTCTTAAATGGTGCACCAAAAACAGTGAACGTCTCTGAATAGCTGTCTTTATAGTTCTGCCTTTTCCAGAATGCACATATTTGGAATCATATAGTATATGAAGGGGTAACCCCCCCCCAATGTAATATTTTCCCCCTAAAGCTATGTATTTAAATTTGTTTTACAAAACAACCTTATCACCTTCAGAGTACTCTCTATTATACTTAATACATTTGTCAAATCTGCGATTCCATTCTTGCAAATATTTTTTCAAACTCATCTATTTGGATGGCTGACAGCACCTCCCTCATTTCTTTTTCTTCATCTCTTCGACATGGTCAAATCACTGTCCTCTCATGTTCCTCTTCGAGGAAGCAAAAAGAAGTTGCCGGCGCGAGATCAGGTGAGTCAGGTGTTTGGGGCTAGAGAGGCATCCTGCTTTTTGCCCAAAACTGGTGCACTGAGATGGCTGCATGAGCAGGTGCATTGTTGTGGTGGCAAAAGCAGTCCCCTGTCTGCCATTAATCAGGCCTTTTTGGTTACACACTGTTATGCAATCTTTTCTGAACCTGTAAACAGAAAGCTTGTTTAACAGCCTGACCTGTTGGAAAGATTTCCAAATGCATTAAGAGTCAACATTTTTGTCTAGTGGGAAGTTGATGGATGTCCAGAACAAGGTTAGTCATCAATCAACATTTCACCTTTTTTGAAATGAGAAAACCACTCGTACACGAGTTTTTCCCATAGTGCTGTCCTTGTAAGCTGTGTTCAACATCACAACAGTTTCTGCAGCATCTTTCCCGAGCAGGAAACAAAATTTCACAGCTGCACACTGTTCTCTGAAATCAACCATCACAAAAAACGAGGTTCCAGCAAAATGTTTTCATGAAAAAATTCACTGTGACCAGAGAGAACCTTCCCAGGTGCTTACTGGTGCACTAACTCAGAGCGAGTTGCTGGATGCTCTCCTCGTGGAAAAAATGCGTACTATGAAAGCTCTGCTCTGCCCAGCACAATTCTGGTTTGGGGGGTACCCCCTTGTATATCCCTACATCCTAGATGACTAGCTTCTTTCACTTAGCCATATGCCTCCTGGGTGCTTCTGGGTCATTTCATGGCTTGCTGGCTCAGTTCTTTTTTTGACGTGCTTGTTGTTTTTTCCCCTTTTAAAATGAGGAAATTGTGTAACTGTGGAAATTCAAGCATATGTCACAAGCATCCTTGAGCACCTTCTAGGCACCAAGGCCCGGGGATAGACAGGGATGAGAGCACAGGGTCCTGTTGCTATAGAGCTAGAGGCCCTTTGGGGATGCAGTCCCACACCTGGGTGGTACAAGGAGGCACCCGGGTGCTCAGAGGGGGAAGTGCAGACGTGCAGACTGCTGTGGGAATGTGTGGCAATTATAGAGTTCACTCTCACAGCGGTGGGGGGGGGGGGAGCTACCTTCCTCTTCAGAAAGTGACATGAAACCTTAGAGCTGCTTAGAAGTTAAGCAAGGAGAAGAGAAAACCATTCTAAGGTCGAGGGAAGAGCAATGTCCAAAGGTCCAGAGATGGGAAAGGCTGCCTCGCATTTGAGGAACTGAAAGAAATCCTGCGTGGCTGGCATGTTGCCGAAACAGATGGCGGTGTGCTGCCCTTTGTGTCTCTGTCCTAGTGATGTGTGGAAACCCCACTGAGTGTTGTCTCTGCATTAGTGGAGACCTGTAGAGTTGGAAGGTCTTTTAAGAGGTCCCCTACATCGGATGGGATTTTCCTTTGGGTCCCCAATCAGAGGACGAACACCAACAATGTGGGATCTCTTTTCTGGAGTGCTGGCTACTCAGGCGGAGAGGGGAGGGTTTCCTTCCTGGCTCCGCAAACCCACTGCTGCCATCGAGTCGATGCTCAGTGACCTTGTAGGACACAGTAGAACTGCTCCTTAGAGCTTCTGAGACTCTACGTCAGCGGTTCTCAACCTGTGGGTGGTGACCCCTTTGAGGGTCGGACGACCCTTTCACGGGGGTCACCGGATTCATCACAGTAGCAAAATGACAGTGAGGAAGTATAATGTGATGGTTGGGGGTCACCACCACATGAGGAACTGTATGAAAGGATCACTGCATTAGGAAGGTGGAGAACCACTGATCTAAGTCATTAGGGAAGCACCTGCATCTTTCTCCCCCAGAGCAACTGGTGGGTCCACACGGCTGACTGGAGTACACAGCTCAGTCCTTAGCCCACAGTTCCAGCATGACACCGTTTTTTCCGTCCCTGTTTTTATCGCTCGGGGTATCCAATTTTCCAAAAGCGAAGGGAGTGCGACAGGGCAGCAAGGGGAGCAAAGTCCCCCAGTCCCCGAGGAATCCTGAAAATAGACTCTGACTCGGGGGCAGGGCTTGGCACATCATCAGATTTGATCGGAAAAAATACGTAAGGGTCAATAGACAGACCTAGAACTAGCTATTGGGGTTTTATGTTTGTTTTTGTTTTGCCCTGTGTCTGTCTGTATAAGATAGGCAGATGAACAATCCTGAGAAAAGAATGGGACTGGTGGTTCCAGGGGGACTTGGGAAAGGAGGGGTGAGATCTAAAATTGATGGTGAGGAGGGCGTATAATGCCAGGTGGGGCTTGATCAAGTGTGATGTATCTGAGAAGAATTACTGAGCCGAATGGAGGGTGAGCATGATAGTGGGATAGGATGGTGAAAGGAAATAGAGGAAAGAAGTAGGAGGCTAAAGCTATTTATAGAGGTACAGCTGTAGGTATGTATATATGTAAATATATTAATTTATAATGAAAGGATAGAGGCCAATGTACATATATTTATATGTTAAGTATTAAGATAGTAGGTGGACTTTGTGCCTCTAGTCAAGGCCTGTCTTAACACAAGAACACTTTGTTCTAATAACCCAGCACTCTTTGATACTCGTCCTCCTGAAACAATCCCTGAAGACAAAGTGGGTGCATGAGCAAATGTGGTGAAGAAAGCTGATGGAACCTGGCTATTAAAATATGTAGCATCTGGGGTCTTAAAGGCTTGAAGGTAAACAAGCAGCCACCTAGCAGGGTAGCAACAAAGTCCACATGGAAGAAGCACACCAGCCTGTGTGATGAGGTGTCCACAGGAGCTGGTATCAGGTATCAAAAGACCCCAAACAATTATATCAATGTGAAAGAGGGGGGTTGGAGTGGAGACTTAAAGCCCATCTGTAGATAATTGGACATCCCCCCACAGAGGGGTTACAAGGAAGGGAGGATTCAACCAGGGTGCAGTATAGCACCTATGAAACACATCATTCCTCTAGTTCCTGAATGCTTCCTCCCTGCCTCTACCATGACCCAGTTCTACCTTACAAATCCGGCTAGACGAGTACACACATTGGTACAGATAAGAGCTCTTGACACATGGAATTCAGGACAGATAAAACGCTCAGGAACAGTAGTGGGAGCAGCAATATGACGGTAGGGGGATGGTGATAGGGTAGGGGTAGGGGAAGGGAGAGAAAGGAGGAATCCATCACAAGCGCCCCCTAGGGGGAGGAATAACAGATTCTGGTGAAGGGAGACACCGGACAGTGTAAGACACAAAATAACAATATATAATTGATCAAGGATTCAGGAGGGTGGGAGGGTGGAGGAGGGGGAGGAAAAAAAGAGGAGCTGATACCAAGGGCTCAAGTAGAAAGATTGTTTTGGAAATGTTGATGGCAACATATGTACAAGTGTGCGTAATACTATTGAATGATGGATTGTTAAAAGATTTGTAAGAGATCCCAATGGAACGATTTAGAAAAAAAAATTTCCAGCGTTGTAACTAATACTGTAATTCAATAAAGACTAGTATTCATATGATCTAATAAATATTACATTTGAGCAATTTTCCATGATACTTATATTTATTCTATCACTAGAATAAACATTGCTGTGTCCAAGAGCGCCGCTGGTTGGGCGGTGGCGACACGACAGCAGTTTCCAGGCAGATCTGCCGGAGGGCGGATCCTGGGCGGGCCAATGAGGAAGCCCCGCTGCAGCGCCGCGGAAGACGGACGTGGCGGTCTTCCAATGACAGCTCACATAGCCCGACAGCCCCAAGGAGCCGCGTCCTTTGGAAAGCAGCGCGCACTGGCGGTCCGCATCCACCCAGACGCCACTCTGCCCTTCTTTCTAACAAAAAGGAAAGGGGGCGGGTGGCAGGGGGAGGGCATGAGGCGGCCAGGAAGGTCGAAGGAGGAGCTGGAGGAGGAGAGACCCGGCCTTAGCTGGGCGCTGAGTTCAGGGACCCTGAACCCCGCGCGTCGACCACCCTGGCCGCC